ACTTTTTAATATGACTTTCATATAGTTTTGGCAAAGTTTTGCTATTTCAGCATTTCGCCAACTTGCCAAAACCCTCTAGTTTCTTTGGCAACCTTACAAATAATAAAAATTTAATAGATAATAGGAATTACAACTGATAACGTATCCAACAATATTATATTTATTAATGCATTAAGTAATTGGATGAAAGAAAGAAATATAGTTTTTGATAAAAATTATCATTTCAGATGTTTTGTACATGTAATAAATTTAAGTATACAAATTGCATTAAGTTTTATAAAAGATAATTTAAATCAGGTTGGTGTTGTTAAAAATTATTTGATGAATGAAATAATTTTTTAATTAAATTTTTTTTATTTTACAACATCAGGAAATTTGTTTAGGCGTAATTTAGTGTAATATTTCGAAGGTGGTGTAAAATTTCGAAATATTACACTAAAAACGTAATATTACAAAAGTTTACGCTCTTAAATTTGAATAATTATAGTAATTTAAGAATATCTCGCTATCTACTGATCCAATCAAGACGATCTATAGCTCATTGGAATCAGCTCATCAAGACGGATCGAATGGTAGTAAAATCGCATTTCTACAGTTGATAGAACGCTCTATAGTATGCAGTAAAGTTTTAAATTAATAGAAAATCATCTATCGAACGTAAAGATACGATTTTACTACCATTCGATTCGTCTTGATGAGCTGATTCCAATGAGCTATAGATCGTCTTGATTGGATCAGTAGATAGCGAGATATTCTTAAATTACTATAATAATTCAAATTTAAGAGCGTAAACTTTTATAATATTACGTTTTTAGTGTAATATTTCGAAATTTTACACCACCTTCGAAATATTACACTAAATTACGCCTAAACAAATTTCCTGATGAATGTAATTAAAATAATTAATAATTAAAATTCAACATTTTTCACAAAAATGTGAAAAGTTATCTGCAAACTGTAAGCTTTATAATATTGAAGATTTAAAACCTATCTTAGACATATCAACTAGGTGGAACTCCACTTTTGATATGATTAATTGAGCTCTCAAGTTAAAAGAAATAAATTTATATGATTTTATATTTTATTATAATTTATTTTTAATTTTACTAATTTAATAATTTATAACTGTATATTATTTTAGGCACTTATATTTACTGCAACTTCTGATAAGGATTTTAAAAATTTTGTAATCATAGATAACAATTGGAATCAACTTGAATTAATTAAGAAATTTCTTGAGTTATTTAAAGAAATGATATTTGGTTTTAAATATTTCACCTTATTTGCAACAGTTTCTTTGTATAATAAACTTATAACTCATATAAAAGAATATTTAGAAACAAGTAAATCAATAATACCAAATGATTTTTTTAAAAAGGCAGTTGAAGCTTGTAATAGAAAATTACTGGAATATTATAATAAGACTAATGATGCATATTTAATTGTAACTATTTTAGATTTCAGATTTAAGATGAGTTATTATAAGCAGAATGAATGAGAAAATGAACTTATAAATGATATGCGTAATAAGTAAGTACATTTTATATTTATATTTTTTTTTTATAAATTAACAAATTCTAATATAATTATATAAAAACAAAATAATGAAAGATTTTTAGAAATTTACAACAAATATTATTTATCTTCAAAGCCATAATCTTCAAATTCAAATGAAAGTGAGAATTTTTTATCTCAAAGATTGTTTAAACGTCAATATACTGACAATAAGATTGATGGATTTTAATTGTATAATTTATTACTATTATTACCACCTGATACTGATCTTCTTAAATTTTGAAAAAGTAAATGAATTTCAGTATCCAAGATTAACTAATATGACAAGAGATTATTTAGCAATCCCTTCAATTAGAGTCCCATCAGAACAGTGTTTTTCAACAAGTAAATATTTAATTACTGATACATGTAATAGATTAGCTAAAAAAATAGTAAGGGCATATATATATCTGAAATCCTGGTGGGAAGGTTTAAAAAATTAATATTTTAATTTCTTTTTTTAGTTTTTAATATTAATTTTTTTTCATAATTTTTTTAAATATTAATCTGATTATTAATGTTCATAATTTTTTAACTTTTTTTTTTATATTAATTTTTTTTTATAGCTTTTTTCAAATTTTAATGAATTTTATAGCTTTTTTTTTCAAATTTTAATTTTATTAATCTAATAATCTTTATTATAAATAATATAGCAATTAGCAAATTAATAATTAGCAATTTAGCATAACAAATATTAAGTAATAATATAATTATATATATAAATAAAGAAATTTTAATGAAATAAATGCTTATTTTATTATTAAAATTTAAAAAATATCAATCAGATTGAACCAAATCCAATCTGAATCTGATTCAAATTTGAATCTAATTTGAATTTGATTTATCTGAAATTGGATTCAAATCAGATTCAGATTTGAATCAGATTACTAAACAAATCAGATTTAGTTAGATTTATGAATCGAATTCAGATTTCAAATATAAATCTGAAATTCAGATCCAGATTTAAATTGATAGATCTGAATCTAATCAGATCAGATTAAAATCTGATAAAATCCAATCTGAACTGATTTATGCGAAACTCTAAAAATATGATTTTTAGTCTTCAATAAACCAAAGAAGTCAATCCAGTTTATCATTATAGATTACTCTTAAAAGTCTGAGGAAAGCTAATAAAAATGGCATATTTAAGTTACCCTATAAAAAGTTTTTATACTTAAAATATACTTAAAATTTTATTAAAATATACTTAAAATAAGTATCAATTTTAATTCATGATATACTTATAATATACCTAAAATGTACTATTTAAATACTCTTAAAATATACTTTTAATGTACTTGTTTTTTGCCTAAATACTTAAATTATATTTAAAATATACTTAAACTAGAATTTAAGTACAATAAAAGTGTATTTTTTGCATGTTTAAAATATTCTTAAAATGTGCTTAAAATTCAATTTAAATATATTTTAAGTATATAAAAATTAATGTTTTATTGGACTTGAAAGTAATATTCAAAATTTTTTTGATTTCTTTAATAAAGTATTTATTAATATTATTTTTTTTTTAGATTTTAAGTAGTTGAATGCTAAAGTTGAAAAGATAATATTAAAAAAGAGGTTTTATTGATTTTTTAATAAAACATTTACTAATATTTTATTATTTTTTTAATTTTAAAAATTAAGATTAAAAAATTTCATTTTTCTGATGCTATAATATCTTATTTTTTTATTCCATCTATTTCTATCACTTTGTTTTATTTCATTTTATTTATTTCTTTTCTCTTTTGTTTTCTATTCCATTTTGTTCTTTATATTCCATTTATTCTTTATATTCTATTTTGTTTTTTATTTTTTTTATGTTCCATTTTATTCTTTACTTTATATTTCATTTTATTCTTTACTTTACATTTTATTTTATTCTTTACTTCACATTCCATTTTATCTTTTACTTACATTCCATTTTATTCTTTACTTTATGTTTCATTTTATTTTTTACTTCATATTTCAGTTTATTTTTTACTTTATATTTTATTTTGTTCTTTACTTTATGTCCCATATTTTTATTTTGTTTTTTACTTTATATTTCATTAATTTATTCTTTACTTTATATTTCATTTTGTATTTCATTTTCTATTCCATTTTATTTACTTTATATTCATTTTGTATTTTATTTTTTGTTTTATTTTGTTTACTTTATATTTTATTTTCACTTTTTTATTAAAATTGCCAATTTTTTAAAATATTTTTATAGATCTAGATACAATGACTTTCAAAACAAATTGTGCATTTATTTTGTAAAATTTTTAAAATATATTAAGATATATTATAGGAATAAAGGTATTTTTGAGATTAAAATATTAAAATAATACAGTCAGACCTCTATATAATCACACCCCATATAGTCACATCATATAAAATTCCTCTATATAATCACACCTTTGGGAAATACCAATATATATAATTACTATATAAAAAAACCTTTATATAATCACATCATAGTAAAAGCCTCTATATAGTCACTAATTTTTGCAGAACTGATTAGGTGACTATATAGAGGTTTGACTGTATTAAAATTAATTATATTATAATAATAAAATAATAATAAAAGCATTAAAAATTGTTGTGATATTATTTTGATAATACAATTACAAAAATACTGAACACACTGAAAACAAAATTTTATTGGCCAATTTATCTATCTGATCATGTCCTAATTTAGTAAATATTTTTTAATAAAAATGATGCGAAAAAAGATAGTTTCGCATTTAAAAATTATCAGTTTAATGATAGAACTTAATTTACATGCTTCTATTTATATTGTCATGGATATAATAAGACAAAGAGCTTAGCATGTGCCCTCAATATAGAATAGTTTGTGAAAAAAGCCAAGATCAAGTCAATTATACAGTCAAGGTAATTTTTTTGTTATTCCAGCTATATTGGAGCTGGATAAACATAATTGCGAAATTTTAGTATAGATAGAAACGAAATATATTTGAAAATTGGTTAACATATAGCGAAAAAATTAGGATTTAGATAGTATGGAATAGTAGGACATTTTATGCTTGAGAAATTATTACTTTGAATTCTTTAAATCACAAAGTAAAGGTATATTGATATTAAAAGCAATCATTTATTATTTCATTAGATTATGTGATCAAAACTTAAAATGAATACTGAGCAAGATCTATGCATAATGCATATTGATCTATATCTTTAGTAATTCATTCATCAATTATAATTTCTTTTCCCATTTTTTGATATTTATGTTCTTTTGTAAATATTATAAATACATCTTTTGGTAATACGAAGTAAAAGTTAATTCTACAAGAAAAATTCAAGATACCCTTAATTGCCCTTAACCCTTCTTGCTTAATACCACTCATGTGACTTAGCAACAGTAACTTGAAATAGTTTATTGTGATGAATATAACTATCAATGGTTTCAAAAATCTTGAAAGTTTGCCAATAATATATTTTTTGGTTTATCTGATATTTTCTTTGATATCGCTAAAATTATTGAAGAAAATTTCTTTCAGAGATTCCAAAGTAATAGTTGTTTCAGGTTCTAATTTACCATCATCTGTGAGTTTATGTACCGGAAAGACTTTTTCTTGACGAAGAATTTCATGTGATACTAATTTGAATAACTGTTCACAGAGAGATCTCATTTCTGGTATATTCTTTGTACTCTCAATAAAACTACAAAGACGCTGTTTATAATTTTTTTTAAACTTTTTTAAGCATTGTTTTGCAACATTATCTGACGCAAAAAAGTAGAAGGATTCGGTGTATGGTTCAGCTTCATCTGTTCTTTTAATGTTGGTATTTATATGAATTAGTTTGTAAGTATATTCATCATCTGAGAAGTCTTTAGCTTGATTATAGAGCATGTTCAGTTCAACTGATATAAGCGCTTGCTTGATAACTGAATCAATATCTGACAGTGATTGATGATCATTAAAGATCCATTGTGCAATCCCACCACATAACTTGAACTTATCTTTTACTGATTTTAGAGTAAATTTTCCACTTTTTCTATATAGATTATTCCAACATTCTTCAAGCTCATTCTCATTCCATGTTGGCATGTAAAGACTTCTGCACCACTGTTTTGCAAAATCTCTGACTATTGCTTTCTTTGGTGAACTCACCATAATTAACTTTCCATTAGAAAAATCATGACCCACTTGGTCTCTTTTTCCGTCGATTATACACCAAACATTTGGTTGTTCCGCCATTTGCCTGTATTGTGTCTTGTTCACTACAGTGTATATTTCACCTGTAGGATGAATCCAAACTGTAAAGGTTTCACAATCTAATAAAACTGATTTATTCCTTTTAAGAAGCTCTATTAGCATTAACCTTCCAAAGAAGGTTTTCCCAATACCTGGATTTCCAGTTATAAGGTATCGCCTGAATTTTGTATCTTCGAGTATAAAATTGCATAAATATTTATAACACTCTCGGTTATAAATATACGTATCTTCATTATCTCCTGGTAATCTTGGAATTTTGAATACCTTATCCTGTATATTAATATTTGGTAAGCTATTTATTAAATTTTGAAACTTTTCCTCATCTGGAAAAAATGCAAAACAAGTTAGGATTTTTTTATTCTAAAATAAAAATCAGTGTTAAAAGAAAAAAAATACCTTGTTGGTGCATTTCTAAACTCCCACGTAGTATCCCAGCTGGAATATGAAATTGAATTCTTTTGAGTTTTTCTTTTTTTGCCTGGAATTCATCTTCCTCATCCTCTACCATTTTTCTCTTTCCTAATCGAATAAAAAAATATGTGAGATAATGCGAATTTCTTGTTTGAGAGGTAAACTATTGTGAGACACTTACCAGTGATAGCAGGTAAAGATGGTAATTGCACAATAATCTGAATGTCTTTGGAATCCTGCGTAAAGATGTTACCAATATCCATATTAGGATATAACAGTTCGCCTCCGAGTTTTTGTATAATGATATCTTCATTAGAAGATCTAGTTCGAAGTAGTTCTAGTTTTCCCAGTTTATCGCCACTGTCCCAAGGAATATTAACTCTCCAAAGACGCAACTTATTTGCATCAATATCACTGAAACATTTTTGATTTTTTCCAAAAATTATTTCCTTGAGTCTTGAAATGGTAGTTTTTTCGTCTTCTATAACCTCGAAAGCAGTATTAACGCTGTTACCTATGACAAAACAAAAGACCATGATGTCGCAATACTTGCAATATAATTAAAAACTTTAAGGAAAAAGATACTAAATTTGCAGAACATTATATACATATTTTAAGTATTAATAATCTTGAGTCATAGATACATCATATTGTATGTATTATTGATAATTTTAAGTCATACCACAATGCATATGTCAGTTATCATGTCAAACAAATACCTTATTTCATGTTGATTATTTGCCAGGATATTTTCGAGTATCAAAAAATTTTAATCTGACATTTTATTATTTATTATGATTAAATACAGCAAAATTACTTTTAGTTAACTTCTGAGTTCTAACCCTTAAATAACAGACCAGTTCATGATTATTGATCAGTACGAAAGAAAATTTTTATCAGAACAAATAATCTGGATATTTATATAAAATTTTCATCGATTAAGTTCCGTTATTTAACTAATTTAACTGTATGTACCACAGAACGATTTAAAAAAAATAAATCTATGTGAAATCACTAAAGCAGTTATTATTTATAAAGTCATATATTAATAAAAATTTATTTTTTGAAAAAATTATATTTGATTTAGGTTATAATTGTTATAATCCAAATCTCAATATGTCCCAAATTGATAATAATCATCGATGATTACTATATGTGAAAAGTAATGCTTTAAAAATTCTTGAGGCATTATAAAGATAGGCTAATAATTTAGGCCGATCATTGATTTGAGGTAATCGTCAACTTGGGGCATAATATAATAATTTAGGTTGGCATTATTATAATACATGAAGTCAATCTGAATTATTATAAATTTTGACTAATATATTTGTTTTAAATTTGAACCAATTATATAAAAATCATGCAATTTTAAATGCTTATAATTTTTTATATAAATTTTTTTTAAAATTTAACTGGTAATTTGATAAAGTTTATTTTAAAAATAAAGTTATCAGTTTATTTTTCTAAATTGTATTTTTTTTAAAAAGTTAAAATATTTTTAGTATTATATTTTATTGTCAAATATAAACTTCAAACATTATAATTCATTAAGCTTTACAATTTATTAAAATTAGATTACTAGATGTTAATTTTTTGAGTTTTAATATAAATGACCAAAAGGCCATTATGATTTATATATATATATATATATTTGTTTCCATGTAAAGGTATAATCATATTTATTGATAAAAATGTTAAAGTAATACAATATATTTACAAAAGTAAAATAAAATAAAGCATTCTAAATAATTTAAACATTATTAATATACTGCCTCTCCCAAAGAAAAAGACTGAGTGACTGACCTTTCACCTTGAGATCAAAGGTGATATATCATAAAAGATAAAATTTTAACTAATAACCTTCCCATTTAAACACCAAGCTATTCTATAGTTCCCAATGTAACTTACTATTTTATCGACTTTGTTGATCACTAATTTAGATTTGTTGACCAATTTTTTCATCTTAGTATTAATTCCTTTCTAATGTTCTAAATCAACTAATTTAACATTCCTAATATACTCCTATATAAAAATTTTAAATCAAAAATCAATTTGTTAATTAAACTGTCTAATAAAACTTATTCTTTTTTTATCTAATATTCTAAAACTCTTAATTCTTGAATAAGTTAACCAAATCTATATGTACAAAATCTTTTACTAACATATACAAATTATATGTCTTATTAAAATTCCAAATCCTATAAATTAAAATTTCTTTAAGAATCTTATCTGGATTTATATACATTTTCCATCTAATAAGTAATAACAAAAGTATAATAAAAACATTTAATAATATTAAATGTATTTTAGTAGTATTTTAAAATTATTATAAAAAAATTGGCCATTTTTAATAAAGTTTTTCTTATCCTTTTATTTTCTTTTTTCCTTTGTTTTTTTTTTCTTTTTCTTCCTTTATTTCTTTCCATTTTGTTCCTTTTTTCTCTTTTCTTTTCCTTATTTATTCTTTTTTTATTTAAGAAATTAAATTATAAAATCAAATAAAATTAGATTAGTTTTTTTGGCTAAGTTTTAAGTTTTTTTTTAGGAGTTAAAAAAAAAATAATAAAATTTTTCATAAAATTAGCCAATCAAAAATTTTATTAAATCACGTGATAAGGTCGTTATGGCGATCTTCCCCAGTATCACCGACACTTTTTCCACCCCCACGTGATTTTGTAATATTCATCACCGGCATCACACCCCACCGCGTTTTCACTGTTTATATTTATCTGAGGGACTTAGTTTTTTTAGGGTTACACCACGATTTCCCAACAACCATTTTCCTGACATAACCTTTGTCCAACAACAATTGCCCGACAAGACTTATTCCCGACAAGACTTATTCCCGACATGACATTATCCCGACGATATTATTCTGAAAATAATTAGTTGTTTATAAGGGAACACTAGTCTAATAAAGAAATTTTCTTATGAGAATTTTATATTAGCAGATTTCATATGAATTCAAATTAATCATTGCCGAAAAATTAACTTTATAGTAATTAAATTATCAAAACTATTGCATTAAAACTTTTATACTTTTATTATTAATATATAAATATAGTGATTATTGTTACATAAAAAAAAATAAAAATTTTTTACGTAATTATTTTTTTAAAAAAAAGCAAATAAAATTTTTTATTTAATTATAAATAAAAATGAAAATTTTTAATAAAATGTCTTTTATTTACCTCTATAATTCAGTTAAGTAAATTTATTTAAATAAAGCAAATCCTGATATAGGTTGTCGGAATAATGTCATGTCAGGATAATGTCACGTCGGAATAATGTCACGTCGGGATAATGTCATGTCGGGATAATATCATGTCGGGATAATGTTATGTTGGGAACAAGTCTTGTCGGGCAATTGTTGTCGGACAAAGGTTATGTTGGGAAAATGGTTGTCGGGAAATTGTCTGTCATCGGTTTTTTTTTGCCTCACAAAATTATTATTTTCACATCCCTTTAAATGTCACCGGTCACGTGGGGGTGGAATTTTAATTATAAAAGTGTCGGTGATACTGGGGTAAATGTTATGGCGACAGGGTAATACATAACCCCCTTATTATTATATACATATACAGTATTAAAAAAACAACATATTTTTTTTTTAATTTAAATATTTAAATTGGATTAGTTAAATAATTATTTTTATATAACTTTATTAATTATTTCCTTTTTGGATTAAATAATTATTTATTTACAATTAATTCTTTTTTTAAATGCACTTTTTTATAAATGTATAATTACATCTTTTTTATACTTTGTTTCAAAGTTAAATGTAATATATACTCCATATTATTTTTATGATGATGTAACGATTTTATAAATTTAGAAAATTTTTTTCTAAATGCATTCATGTTCTGGAATTGTTAAAAAAATTCTGAAATAACTAAAAATTCTAAAAAGTAATCTGACAAAATTATACAGTATGCATAATAATTTAATACATGCAGTTATGCAGTAGTACTATATGTAGTTTGCATAGTAATATCTTTGCAGGAAGATTTTACCAAGTCGTAAAGGAATAATACGTCCGGTCAAGATATAAATGTGACTTTAACTGAGATTTAAAAATAAAACTTTTGATTACATGTATGTTTATGAGTTATGAACAAGTCTTATTCTCTCAATATATAGATTTAAAATTAGAATTGTCAAATTTGCAATTTTATAAATTTAACAATCAAAAATAGATGATTTGCTTTATAATTCACTAATGCGGAAGCAATCTATTTTAAACATATTGGGTACCCAATATACTGTATACCTAATAGGTGTAATACTTATGCGGAAAATCCGGTATCCTTAAATTTTTTATATGTATTATATGTAACAAGAAAAAATGATTAAAATTCGTGCAAAAAGTGATAATACTAGAAATCGCGTGATAACATCGCAAAGTCGTATATTTTCGAAAATGTCACTACTCTAACTACTCTAACCAAAAGATATTTTAAAGTAAAATATATTTTAAAACAATATTAAGGTAAAACTATTAGAAATTGATTGTTTTGTTTATAGAAAAACACAAATAAAATCAATAAAATCGATGAGATAATAATCAAAAATAGTAAAAGGGAAACATTAAATTTATTATGATTTACATAAATTTATATTAGAATACAATTTAGTAAAGATCTAAAAAAACTTAAAAAAAATGGCACGGATTTGCTATATTGAAAGAGAATGGCATTGTAATAATCGTTATATTTATTTCTAAAAAAAAAATAAAAAAAAAAAAAATTGTTTTTAAACAACCGATGAATTTGATCACTTGATGCTAAACCAAAAAAAACAAAGCATTCAAGTTTTATACCGGTATTGACTATTGACTATTATTGTAAACTGACAATCCTCGTGAAACGCACGGATCCACAAACTGCGGAATTACCATACAATGATATATTATTTCCATGGTCATTTATTATGAATAAGCATTAGGTGATAATTAAGTATTTTTAATATAAAATATTATAAGTTGAGTATACGTCACGAGTGCTAAATTTCGGAGTTAAATTCAGAGCTAAATTATGAGCACTTATATGGATGGCTTCGATTTATTTCAGGTATATAAGATACTATTAAATGTACAATGTTTCCAATAAATACGCATATCTTTTTCTAATAATAAAAATCCCGGTAAATATTCTAAATTGAGCAATATTTACTTTAACGAAATGCGTTGTAATGATATCATTTATTGCTTGATTTAGACATCGGTTTGATTTCATTAAAGAGAATTTTTGTTAGCTATATGCTCTTTGAAATTTTGATGTACTCCTATTTATTGTCGGAGTTAAGTAAGGGGTTAAAATTAAAGAATCCAAGAACCGACGACCGATTTATTTTATAGTTATTAACTTTAAATTTTAATAAAAAGGAGAATGGATTAGTAATTAGTATGATAGGGCGTAAGGGAGGGGATAGAAAAAATTTTTTAATGCACCTTTCTCATAGACCTAAAAAGAACCATTTGCTTTTGCTATATAAATCATAGTTATTATCGTATGATACAGTAATATTTATTTATAATGAAATGTTGAATTCCGGATACCATTAGCTAAAAGAATACTTAAATTACATGAACATATATGTCATCATGTTTGACTATACACCCAAAATTGGCATATTTATTTATTGTTTGACTAACAAAAAACTATTTATTATTTCTCAATTAAGTAAAAATTTTCGTACTTGACATAAGATACTATACTACATTAATATATTACTACCAATTTTTTTTACCCCACAAATCGGATCACTCGGATGCATATATCCGCTTCAGCCTATTTCCCATATTAGGTTAAATTAAAAAAATATCTAAAAATATACCTTCTATTTATATATCAACAAAAAAGAAAAAAAAACATGTGAAAATAACACATGATTTATTATATTACATATCAAAAAAAAAAGTTCATACAATACAAAAAATATACACGTCCAGAAAAATTAATTATGATGATGAATTAATGATTCATCTTATTATTTGTAATAAGGATTACTATTAATATTATAATACCAAAAAGAATTAAAGTAAATAGAGCACATAACCATTTTAACTTTCTTGAACTTTTATTTACTACTTCAACTTTCTCTAATTCAACTTTGGCTTCTCTAGTGGTAACTTCAACAGTTTTTACTTCATCCGTTATTGAAATGATAATTTCATCTTGTAATTCAACTTGCAATTGAATTTCTTCAAATAAAGCGACAAGTTCAGAAATAGTTTGTTCAATCTTTTTAATATCATGATGACGTTTATTCACTTCTTCTAAAACATTTTTTGAATCAATAATACTTCTTCGACTACTAAGAAATACGGGTTGATCAGTAGGATTTTTTAAATATTCATCGATCTCTTCATCTTTTGCATCAGGATAAACAATTTTATATTGTCTACTCAAACGTTCTTTTTGTTGTTTCATATAAATATTTTCAATCTTTCTATAAGTTTGTAAACAAGTGACGAATTTTTCTTTAAGATGAGTTACACGTTGTTTTCTTAATTCAAAATCTTCCCAAGTAATAGAATTTCTACTTATTCTTAAATCTTGTAATTCGAGTGTTTTTATTCTATTTTTTGTATCATTTAATAAATTTCTCGTGGAATCCATTATCGAATCACGAGTTGAAATCAAAGAATTTTCTTGTCTTTTTGAAGTAGCAATAGCAATTTGAGTTTGAGTAGATTGAATATTTGAAATATTTGAAAGTATTACATCCAAATCTTTCTCTATTAACCAAGATTCGCTTATGAATGATTTTGTTACAGGATTTGTAAAATGTGGTATATCAACTTGATATTCATCATCATTATGAACGAATTGTTGTAATGGTTGAACATCTGAAATATCCATATTATGAGTTTCTGAGACATCCATATTGTGAGTTTCTGAAATATCCATATTATGAGTTTCTGAAGTATCCATATTATGAATTTCTTGCGTGATTTTATCTATGGGTTAATTGTTGGTTGCTTTTTAATTATTGGTTTCTTTTTAATTGTTAAAAAAAAAAAAAATTATAAAAATGTAAATAATAATTTTTTTTTATTTTCTTGAAAAAAGAGGTATTGTTTTTTTTTAAAAAAAAAAAAAAGAAAAAAATGTTTTGTTTCTTAAAAAAAAAAATCAAACAACACGGCATCTATTTATCTGAATAAAAATAAATGAGAGTTCACTAAATAAGGAAATCCGGAATGATTGAACCGACTTATTATTATTATTATATATAAACATAATATTAGTAAAATATATAGTTATAATGTAACACTGAACAATTAATAAAGGTATTAAAATATGATGATTATAAAATATAAAAAAAGGAGTAAATAGAATAAATTAAAATTTTAATTTAAACAATTTAAATTTAATGAAAGTTTACTATTAAAATTAAAAATGGTCGTTATTTATACAGTATATATATTCCTATTGATGATCAGTGATGTTAAGTAAAATCACAGTCACGTAAATTAAACTTTTTAAAGTTTGGACTATTTTTTTAACTGATAAACTCTTTTAAACTTTCATTCTCCGCGAAAAAAAAGGAGTATAAAAAAAGTATATATAATATATATGGACATAAATATTTAAAATATTTTTCAATATGTAATATTAGTAATATTACTAAATTACTAAATTACTAAAATTATTAAATTACTAACTAATCTTCTTCTGATCGTTATTAATGTATCATATCAAAAAAAAAAAATCCGTTAATTTAATTATTACTAAATTTTAATCCAAATCAGAATATTTTTTTAATCAATAGAATATACTTTTAAGGTTATAAACTTTGATATCATAATTCATTTAAATAATGATTAGCATGTCAATCCTTTTCAAGTTAGTTCTCCCATAGAACTTGATCCCATTGAAGTTTCGTTTAAAAAAACAACGGTCAATGTTTAATATCACTCCAAAAATAGTATAAAAAGTTGATTTTCGTCTTGTACTCCATTCAATATGTCACCTGATTACCTTATTAGTCAACAAACAAAAAAAATTATAGTAAATATGAAATAGGACATGAAATTATTTTTTTTCTTTTTCTTCATTAAAGATAATGAAAAAGGATATATTTATTGTTCTATTTTTTTTTTCTTTATTGGAAATAGAATCAACCTCACCAAAAAAATCGGGATATTATTTTTCCGAAAAAAAAAATAAATAATTTAACAATGAAACATTTTTTACTATGATCATTACATTATCTTAATCATTTTATATCCGTATATATTTAAAAGGTAAATCGATTAAAAAATATTTTGTTTCATGTCTCGGTTAAAAACATTTTAGATTTCGCCCATTTAAACCGCATGCCTTCACATTACTATGAAATTACTATAAAAAGAATCATTGTACGTTGTTTACTGTGTGTGTGTGGGCTGGATATCGATCTTCAACCAATATAGTTAGTTACTTTAATAATCTATACAATGTTTACCAAAAAAAATGATTTTTTGGGTAGATCCAATAAAATTTTCAAGTAAATTTAGATACAATAAATTATAAATAATTCTCATAAAATGTAAGAGAATTATTGATACAGAATCAAAGAATCTTTTTATAATTATTAGATCGATTTTTTTTTTAAGCATGAGTCAATTGCATCCAAGTATTAACCTCATTTATATTAGATATTTTCAATTGTTTATAACTGTTTCGTAGTTACAATTTAGTTATTTTTGGAAGGTAATAATAATTGTTTCTAAATAATTGTATTTTTTTTTTTTTTTTTTTTTT